GAGTGTAAGAGCTTTGGGGGTTCGTGTTCACAAGCTTGGCCACCTGTTGGACTGGGCAGAGAGGGCTGCTAGGATGATGCTGATTTCCGACTTCAGCGAGAGATGCCGGCGGCATGTGGAACTGGACTTGGGGAAGAGAGGTAACATAGTCAGTGGGCAACTGCAAGTCTCAGAATAGTCCTCGAATTTCACTAGAGAGAAAAACTTCTCAAGTCAGGAGGGCACAGCCTGCAGCTGGGAAGAGACACTGGGACCTCCCATTGACTTGGTGGTCAGTGTGTTGCAGACCCATTTCACAATGGGGTGGGTAGCACAGCAGCCCCAAACCCAAACTGTGGAGCTGCTTAAGTGCTTGTGACATTCCCCCCCAAAAAAATGACCCGGTGGACTAGCGGGTGTGCACATGCCATTTATTACTCACATTAAAGGGAATGCACCAATGACCACATGTCAGTGCAGCAGAGACCACGCCTCTTCCAGTCTGAGGCTCATTATCATGGGTCCCAGACAAAGGAGGCACGTGTCCTACCTGTGACTCTAAACTACGTTATCTCACTGTGTAAAAGGGTCAAGAAGCAGTCACAGGACAAGAAACCACTCCCGAAAGGAGATGAGGAGAGAGTTACAACCCATACCCCAAACAATCCACACTCCTTCTGGCCAGTGGCCGTCTGACCAGCCCTCAGTCATGGGAGAGGGAAAGGCTGTGTCCATTGACCCCACAGGGCGTGTCTCTTCATTGTGTCGGGGCACCCGAGGGGAGAATGGGCGTTCTGAGCAAGTCCACCCCTTCTTAGCCAGTGATTCTAGGAACAAGGGTGTCTTGGGTTGGGCTTTCCGAAAAGCAGAGCCTGAGTCAAGGGGGCCAGGGGAAGTGGTTTATTTGGGTGGTGGTACACCGAATACGGGTGCTGATGGGCAGGTGTCCTCTGGGAGCCTGGGGGTGGGGCTGTAGGACAGTTTCTCACTTGTCCCACCAGCAGGAGGAAGTTGCCCGCCTGTGCCAGGAGGGTTTGGGCGGGGCTCCACCAGCATCTGCCTCACGGGGGTAGGCTCTGCCCCTGGCAGCTCACAGCAGGTGAGCGCTGCTGCCTCCAGCAGGCAGAGGGCGACTGTGGCTCAGCTGGACCAGAGCTCAGGGGCTGTGACAAGGGAGAGGTCACTTGTGCCTGCGCTGGCCTGAGATCCCTGGTCAGGGCATATACAAGAAGCAACCAATGAATGCATAAATAAGCAGAACAACAAATCTCTCTCTCTCTCTCTCTCTCTCTCTCTCTCTCTCTCCCCCCTCCTCTCTCTCAAATTGATAAATAATTAAAAAAAAACAAACAAACTCTTCTGCCCAGCTTTCTACGAGGTTCCCATGCCCTTTTTTCCGCCTGGCGCGCATTGCTCTCGGAGTCCCTTGTCTGTCTCTTCCACTGCTCTAGGGGTCTCCTGGGGCAGCAACCCATCTTATTTTGTCTTCTTAACACAATGTCTGGCACCTAGAAGACATTCAATAGATAATTAGTAAATGAATAATGCTTGCATTTACCAAGTGCTTTCTCCGTTCAATGTGCCTATGCTTAATTCGCATGACAACCAGTGGGGCATGGTGTTATTATTAAACCCGTTTATGGACAAAGGATGGGAGAGTCAGAGAGGTTAGCAGTCTGTAAAAGGGTGACTGGAAATTAAAGCCTGTTCTGTCTGGCAGATGATGTGACATTGTATGAAGAACCCTAAAGATTCCACCAAAAACCCCTAGAACTAATATATAAATTCAGTAAAGTAGCAGGATATAAAATAAATATCCAGAAATCAGTTGCATTTGTACACACCAGTAATGAACTAGCGAAAAGGGAAGCTAAGAAAACAATCCCATTTACAATTGTATCAAAAATAAAATAAAATACCTAGGAGTACATTTGACCAAGGAGGTCAAAGATCTGTACTTGGAAAATTATAAGGCACTGAAAAGAAAATTGAAGAAGATACAAATAAATAGAGCAAATACTATGCTCAAAAAACAGAAGAATTATCATTGCTTAAATGTCCATATTACCCAAAGTGATCTATAGATTCGATGCAATTCCTATTAAAATGCCAATGCCATATTTCACAGGACTAGATCAAATAATCCAAAAATTTTTATGGAACCATAAAAGACCTGGAATAGCCACAGCGATCTCAAGAAAAAAAAGAAAAGGAACAAAATTGTAAATATCATACTACCTGATTTCAAACTATATTACAATGTTATAGTAATCAAAACAGCATGGTACCAGCATAAAAACAGTCATAATAAATCAATGGAATAGAATAGAGAGCCCAGAAAGAAACCCATGTCTATATGTTTAATTAATAATTCACAAAGAAGGCAAGAACATATCATGAGGCAAAGACAGTCTATTCAATAAAGGGCATTTGGAAAATTGGACAGATAGATGAAAAAAATGAAAATCACGTTCTTACACCATTTACAAGAATAAACACAAAATGGAATAAACATTTAAATGTAAGATTCCACACCATAAAATGCCTAGAAGAAAACAAAGAAAGTAAAATCTCTTTTATATTTCTCTTAGTAACTTTTTTTTTCTGATATATCTTCTCAAGTAAGGGAAACAAAAGCAAAAATAAACAAATGGAATTACATCAAACTAAAAAGTTTTTGTACAGCAAGGGAAACTGTCAACAAAATGAAAAGACAACACACTTGCCCTGGCTGGCATGGCTCAGTGGATTGAGCACGGGCTGCGAACCAAAATATTACAGGTTCGATTCCCAGTCAGGGCACATGCCTGGACTGTGGGCCGGGTCCCCAGTGGGGGCCACATGAGAGGTAACCACACCTTGATGTTTCTCTCTCTCTCTTTCTACCTCCCTTCCCAACTCTAAAAATAAATAAATAAAATATATTTTTTAAAAAGACAACCCACTCAATGGAAGAAAATATTCACCAATGATATATCTGATAAGAGGTCAATATCCAAAATTTATAAAGAACTCATATAACTCAACACACACACAAAAATCCAAAACCTAAACCCAATCCCATTTAAAATGGGCAAAGCACTTGAATAGACATTTCTCCAAGGAGGACATACAATGGCAAATAGATATATGAAAATGTGTTCAACGTCACTAATCATTAGAGAAATGAAAATTAAAACCACAATGGGATATCATCTCACACCTGCCATAGTGGCTATCATCAGTAAATCAACAAACAAGAGTGTTGGCAAGGATGTGGAGAAAAGGGAACCCTTGTGCACTACTGAAGAGAATGCGGATTGGTGCAGCCACTGTCAAAAACAGTATGGAGGTTCCTCAAAAAAAATAAAAATAGCCCTGGCTGGTGTGGCTCAGTGGATTGAGTGCCAGCCTGCAAACCAAACAGCCACCAGTTCAGTTCCCAGTCAGGGCACGTGCCTGGGCTGTGGGCCAGGTCCCCAGTATAGGCTGTGATAGAGGCAACCACACATTGATGTTTCTCTTCCTCTCTTTCTCCCTCCCTTCCCCTCTGTCTAAAAATAAATAAAAATATTTTTTAAAAATTAAAAAAGGGACTGCCTTATGACTCAGTAATTCCACTTCTGCGTATATATCTAAAGAAACCCAAAACACTAATTTGAAAAAATATATGCACACTTACGCTCATTGCAAGGTTATTTTCAATAGTCAAGCTATGGAAGCAACCCAAGTGCCCATTAGTAGACAAGTGGATTTTTTTTAAAGATTTTATTTATTTATTTTTAGGGAGGGAAGGGAGGGAGGTGGGGGGAGAGAGAGAGAGAGAGAGAGAAACATTAATGTGCGGTTGCTGGGGGTTATGGCCTGCAACCCAGGAATGTACCCTGGCTGGGAATTGAACCTGGGACACTTTGGTTCCCAGCCCGCGCTCAATCCACTGAGCTACGCCAGCCAGGGCTGACAAGTGGATTTTTAAAAAAAATCTGTGTTGTAATGAAAAAATATAATAAAGATTATATATATATATTTTTAAAATCTGTGGTACATATATACAATGGAATATGACCTGGCCATAAAAAAGAATGAAATCTTACCATTTGTGACAACACAGATTGACCTAGAGGGCATTAAGCTCAGTGACATAAGTCAGAGAAAGACAAATATCATATGATTTCATTTACATGTGGGATGTATAGAACAAAATAAGTGTACAAACAACAGAAACAGACTCACAGACACAGAGAACAGACCGATGGTTGCCAGGGGGCAGGGGGCTTAGGGGACTGGGTGACAAAGGTGAAGGGGTTGAGAAGTACAGGCTGGTGGTTACGAAACAGTCACGGGGACGTAGAGTCCAGCACAGGGAATACAGTCAGTAATGTTGTAACAACCACGTAGGGTGCCCGGTGGGCTCGGGAACCACCAGGGGAAACACTGTGTAGAGTGTCTGATTGTCTAGCCACCATGCTGTCCACCTGAAACTAATACAAAATGATATTGAATGTAAACTGTAACTGAAAAAAAAAATGAAAAAATATTTACATTTAAAATAATAAAAAAAAATCCGTCCTGTCTGACTTGAGAGTTCTGTCCACTCATCCCAACCGTGGACAGGCCCCTTCTCCTCCTGGACCTCAGTGTGGATGACGAGGTGGGGTGGCTGGGTGACAGATGCAGTGGGATCGAACTCTTACCTGCTGGGAGAGTCACCTCCTCTAAGGGCCAAACTCAGGCCAATTTCAGTTTCCAAACGTCATCATCGAATGGAAACTCGAAGAGTGGAGAATCGAAAGCAATAGCAGAAAGGTGGGAAGGAAGCCAAGCCTGTTAAGGTGGCCCTGGACATTCCGGCCCCGGTTCAGTGTCCCTAGGTGCCTCTGCCACAGCGAGGGGTCTCCATGAAGGGAGCCCTAGATCAGCCCAGTCCCTCCTGGTTTCCTCCCCACGATGGTCCTTTATCCCAACAGGGTGCGAGAGGGTAACTGAGGAGGAGCTTCCTTAAAGAAGGGAAAGGATGCCAGGGCTGGGCGTGTGGCTATATATCTGTCTAGCAGTGCTACTGTAGGACAGAGATGGCACTGTCCTCGGAGCTGTATGGCACCCCTGCCTCCAGGCTGGACTCCTTCGTGGCCCAATGGCTGCAGCCCAACCGGGAGTGGAAAGAAGAGGTGCTGGACGCTGTGCGGACCGTGGAGCAGTTCTTGAGGGCAGAGACCTTCCAGGGGGAAGGTGGGCTGGACCAGGAGGTGCAAGTGCTGAAGGTGGTGAAGGTGAGACCGGTCTTCTCCAGCCCCGTGCCAGGGCTGGGCAAGCCCAGAAGGAGGGTCCTTATCCTCCCCCTGAGGCTTCTGGGGACCCCTTGCCTCCATATCCCTAGCCCATAGTGCTGACATCTCAGGACATCCCACCTTAGTTGCCTGCACCCCAACATATTGCTGCCTCCAGCAGAACGAACTGGGAAGGAAGCTAATAATCACTCAGTTCTTGGGGTGCTCTAGCCTAACCCCTTAAATATATGTCATCTCTAATTTGTGCATCCTGTGAGGTAGGTGCTATTCCTTTCCCCTTTTTCAGATGAGCAAAGTGGAGGCCCAAAGACCTATGATTCATAGCAATCAAATGCAAAGCAAGGGTTTTGACTGGCTCCTGGTGTGAATAGATTATCCACAAAATATCATTTAGAAACCATTGGGGGAATTTTAACATGACCTGGATATTAGGTGATATAAGGGAGTCATTGTTGATATTGTTAGGTGTGATAGTTTTGTGGTTATGGGTGAAATGTTCTCTTTCATTAGACACAAATGCTAAAGTATTTAGGGACAACGATTCTTGGTGTGTGTAGTTTACTGTAATGTGGTTTAGATGAAGCAACTATGGTAAGGAGTTGAGAGTTGTTGACTCTAAATGACTGGATATATGAGTTCATTGTATTTTCTTTCTATGTTTAAATTTTTTTGATAATAAAAAGGGTTTTTTTTTTTTCATGGAAGCACAGAAAAGTGAAGTAATTTACACAATATTGCAAACTGGTGGTAGGGCTGGGATTTGAACCAGGGTCTTTCTGACTCCACAGCCAAGGCTCCAGGCCCTTCCTCCAGCTGCTTCGTGTCACCTCCTGTCTTAGCTAGGATCAAAATTCAAGAGGGTCAAAACTAGAAAGGCCATGGAGAACCCAAGAGCCTCAGTCAATCCCTTATTTAAACATGAAGGAAAACTGAGGCACAGAGAGGGTAAGAGATGTCCCAAGGTCACACAGAAAGCTGGTGGCAAAGACAAGACTAACATTAAGAACACTCCCCCCAGCCCCCAAATTCTGGTTTCCAGGCCAGCACTCTAGATCTACCCCCAGGGGCAGGCACCTCGGGGAAGGATTTAGAAGTGACAAACCACACATTTTGACGTCAGACAGACCTAAGTGTGATTCTTGCCTTCTTCCCTTACCGGCTCTGTGACCGCAGACTTAACATCATAGCTCTCAAACCCTCTGCCTTCTCATCTGTAACGGGGGCCAGGACAGCAGCAGCTGTGTCTCTGCCTCGTCAAGCAAAGGGGGAAGCAGGCTAAATGATTAGCACGTAGTAAACGCTCCAAAAAAAAAAGTATCATTATAAATTCTTGCATGAGCTGTCTCTTCGGTCTTGGGCACCAGTAAGAGTCAAGCAGACCCTCCCAGACCACCCCCTTGACAACCCTGACAATGAAGTAGCGGATGGAAGGGGGAAGCCTGCCAGCAGGAGGATGCTACAAAAAGAATGTGTTGACAGCAGGAAATTACCCAGCTCTCAAATTCTGCCCACAGACCATATCCACTCCTCCTCTCGAAACCATGAAATAATAGAAATACCTGAAGAGCAGTAGCCCATGAGACATAAGACTTCATTCGGCCTCCGAGCCCTCCCCTGACCCTGAAAATCGGGTGAGCTGGGCTGGTCCACATGAGTGAATGCTTGTCCTTGAGTGAGTTGGATTTAAACAGGTTTGAACTGAAGCAAGTCCTGAAGCCAGTTGCAGAATGTTCTTTCCTCTCTGTTTGTCTCTTATCACTGGGAGAGGCCTTCTGCGGAATGCGGCCCCTGTGCACACACAGGAAACCATCCCCAGCCCTCTCCTCCCGTGGGGCAGAAACACTGAGTCTGAACTCAAGTAGAGAATGAGAATGGAAAAGGTAGAAAAGGAGAGAAAAGATGGCAGGTGCTCCGCCTTCTCAGAAACAGGGCCTGGCTCATAGACCAGGGTCATAAGGAAGAAAGAGGTCAAAGCACAGCACCCTGGTCTCTGACCCTTGAACTAACTCTGACTCCTGGCAAGGAGCCCATGGCAAGTTGATGAACCCCCACTGCCTCAGTTTCCTCATCTGTACTTTGGGTATAATTCTACCAGTACCCACCTCAATCAGTGGGTGAGAGGGTGAAAAGGTCTCATATGCATAAAGGGCTTTCAGGAATGCCAGACATGAGTGCTCAACCCATGGCAGCTGCAGTGATTCACCCACCGGGAGGGGGACCCGACCTGAGTTCTGTTCGTTCATTGCCCAGCCATTCCACCTCCCGAACCGGAGTGAGAAAGAAGGCAGGCCAGAGAGTTGTAGGGCTTTGGTATGCCAGAGGCCACAGGGAAGTAAGCCCAGAATCTCAGAACATCAAAAAGACCCCTTCCAAATCGTGCAGCTCAGGCTCCTTCCATTCAGCTGAGGAAAGTGAATCCCAAGCCGCAGAAGGAATGGTGAGTCAGCCAGATAAAGAGGAGGAAGAGAAACGTATTGCTGACTTGTGCACCAGGCATCACAGCAAGCCTCTGGCACACACTCCCTCATCTAGACTTTCAAGTGACCCAATGACTCACGTTCCATCATTGTACACGTACATCCTTTTACAGATGTAGGGCTCAGAATGATTCCACAGCTGGAAAACAAGGGCTGCAGTCGAGGTCAAAGTCAGGCTACCCCATTCCACAGCCCACGGTTCTTACCCACCAGACAATCCTGCACCCCCTTTTTTAATGTCATAAAATTACTCAGACAGCCCACCCCCCAAGATTCTCTCAAAAAACCTCGCAGAGTAAGCATTCCTGTTTCCTTGGAGCAGACATAACCCTGCCCGTGAGAAGACCGAGTCTCAGAGTGAAGGAGCGCAGTAAACAAGGAGCTTGGGCTCTGGAGTCAGGCTGTGTGCCCTGTGACCCTGGGCAAGTGGCTTGTCCTCTTCTTTATGATTACATTTGTTGAAGTGGCATTGCTTCACAGGGTCATTTAGGTTTCAAGTGTACATTTCTATGACACATGATCATATATTCCACTGTGTGCCCATTGCCCACAGTCACATCATCCTCCATCACCGTGGATTGGGCCCCCTTTACCCTTTGCTACCCCACCCCCTTCCTTCTGTCTGTCTGTGTCTATGAGTTTCAGTTTTATATCCCACATGAGTGAATCACGTGGTTCTTAGCTTTCTCTGACTCACGTATTTTGCTTAGCATAATACTCTAAAGATCCGTCCATGTCGTCGTGAATGGCGGTATCTCATCTTTTCTTACGGCTGAGTAGTATTCCACTGGATATACGCACCACATCTTAACACAATCTTCTTTCGAAGGACACTGTGGTTGTCTCCACATCCGGGCCACTGTGAAGAACACTGCAATGAACATAGGGGTGCATATATCTTTGGGAACAAATGTATTCGTGTTATTTAGGTAGACACACCCAGAAGAGAGACTGCTGGGTCATATGGTAACTCAATTCTTAATTTTTTGAGAAATGCCATACTGGTTTCCATAGTGGTTGTACCAGCTTGCATTCCTACCCACAGTGAATGGGGGTTCCTTTTCCTTCCCAACCCCTCTAATGCTTATTACGGCTTGCTTATCCTCCAGGCATCTCAGTCTTCTCACCTGCAAAGAACGGGTACCGCCCTGGCTGGTGTGGCTCAGCGGCTTGAGTGCCGGCCTGCACACTGAAAGGTTGCTGGTTTGATTCCCAGTCAGGGCACGTGCCTGGGTTATGGGTAGGGTCCCCATTTGAGGACTAGAGGCAACCAATCGCTGCAGCTCTCGCACATCTACATTTCTCTCCCACTGTTTCTCCCTCCCTACCCCTCTCTCTAAAAATAAATCAATAAAATCTTTTAAAAAATGGGAACCAACCCATCCCTTAGGGTTGTGGTGAGAACCTCAGGGATGGCCGGGCACAGAGGGTAGCCTCAGGGTGACAGGGCTCTGTGTTCTGCAGGTGGGCTCCTTCGGGAATGGCACGGTGCTCAGAGGCAACGCGGAGGTGGAGCTGGTGGTGTTTCTGAGCTGCTTCCGCAGCTTCCAGCAGGAGGCCAGGCACCACCAGGCCGTTCTGAGGATGATCCGGAAAAAGCTGTGGACTTGCCAGGACTTGCTGGCCCTTGGACTTGAGGTCCTGGGGGTGTCGCAGGGAGTCCCCGATGATCTCACCTTCATCATCCACACCAGGTGGACCTCGGAGCCCGTCACTGTCACCATCGTGCCTGCCTACAGGGCCCTGGGTAAGGGGAGAGGAAGCCCAGCCAACTCACACATTTGCCATTCCCAAGAGTCCGGCCACTGCCTCCCTTCTCATTCACGGCCACATTCTTCCCTTCAATCTCTGTCATGCGGGGGGCTGGTGACCCCAATGCGTGGGGCTGACCCAACTCTGGCTGCCGCGTGGCTCAACTTGGGAAACAGATTTCTCAAGGAATCAAGCTGATAAATATATGATTGCAAGAGGAGGCAAGACCACAGAGGGGAAGGAGTTAAAAGAGCAATCTTGGGTGCTTCTGTAGTGCTTACCACGGGTTCAGGGTGGGGTTGGGGCTGTCGTCGTTTGGGCCTTTCCAGAAGCAGCCCCTGAGACCAGGGTTGGAGAGCAGGCAGTCCCAGGAAATGCTGGTGGGGGAGAGAAGGGACATCCCATTACAGATCAACACACAGAGCCGCTGCGCAGGGCGAATTCCCGAGCGTGCCGCGGCAGCACGCCCCTCAGCCAAGGCCCTCGCAGAGCCCAGCTGTCTCGCCTCGACCTGGGCCTCTCTTACGGTGATGGGAGGTTCAACTCAATCTGAGAAATTCAAAGCAGACACGAAGGGAAAGTGTTGGGGACATTATGGGAAGATAAAAGCCCTGGAGTGGCCTAAGAATTAGGAAACCCACTTTGATTTCTCTTTACCCTCTTCATTCTAGTAGGCTAGGAGGTCTCAGGTTTCCCCAGAGAAACACTCCAGGGAATTAGCAGGCTCCCCAGGCCCAGGACACTCAGCCCTCTCCCTTTGCTTCCTCCCACCCCAGGGCCTTCTGTTCCCAGCTCTCAGCTACACCCTGAAGTCTACGAGAGGCTGATTAAAGCCGGTGGTTACCCTGGAGATTTCTCTCCTTCCTTCTGTGAGCTGCAGAGAAACTTCGTGAAACATCGGCCAACCAAGCTGAAGAGCTTCTTGCGGCTGGTAAAACACTGGTACCTGCAGGTGAGGAGGTTGCTGGGATGGGGGCAGGAGGAGGAGATGGAGGAGCGGGGAAGAAAATGCTGAGGCCAGACTTGTCATCTCAGCAAACTGCCTCAAGAAGAAATGGAGGTGGAGGGAGAGAAAGAAAAACAGAAGGAAGGAGGAAAACGAGGAATTTACAGAATTTCAGTACACACGTACTTGTAACGCTGCAGTCACCCAGGCTAGTACTGGCTAATGTCAATTTCACTGGTGCATCTGCACATTAATCTCAGCCCATTAAGGACTTCTAACAAGAGAAAGATTCATTTAATTCCACCCCACCAATTCCTTCTCCAAATGGTGGAGTTCCTGCATTTCATGATTATTACTGAGTGAATATATTGCTAGCAGCTGCTTTTTCTCTTTTTAAAGATTATTTATTTATTTATTCTTAGAGGGGAAGGGGGAAAGAGAGGGAGAAAACATCAGTGTGTGGTTGCCTCTCACATACCCCCTACTGGGGACCTGGCCTGCAACCTAGGCATGTGCCCTGACTGGGAATCGAACCAGCAACCCTTTGCTTTGCAGGCCGGCGCTCAATCCACTGAGCCACACCAGCCAGGGCCCTAGCAGCTGCTTTTTAGATTACACATGCATGTCTGCACAGTACCATGTATACTTCAAAAATATCCGGACGACACCTAAAACTAAGATAATATTGAATGTAGACTGTAATTGAAAAAAATGTGAAGGGAGGATTTCCAGCCAAGATGGAGGTGTAGGCAGACACACTGTGCCTCCTTGAAAAACCAAAATAAGGTCAGCAACAATTTAGAAACAAGATAACAACCAGATCTGACAGAAACTAGAACTGTATGGAAGTCGGACAACCAAGGAGTTAAAATATACACATTCGCCCAGACCAGTAGGAGGGGTGGAGTCGGGCAGCCAGTCAGAGAGGGGTCGGTACAAAAAGCTGTGGCACTGGACGCGTAACTCATCCCAGCCGCATAACGCATCCCGAGCACGCAGGCAGCTGGCAGACCCAACGAGGTGGTGACTATGAAGCGAGGGACTGCACGCAAGGCACCTGGCTTTCTGGGCCACATTCGCATGCAGATAAACCAGGCGAAACTGGGCAGTGAGACAGACCGTGCAACCCAGGGTCCCAGCGCTGGGAAACAGAACCTTGGGACACTGATTGAAAACACTTGTGGGGGTTGAGGCACAGGGAGTGACTCCCAGCCTCACAGGAGAGTTCACTGGAGAGACCCACAGGGTCCTAGAACGTACACAAGCCCACCCACACAGGAATTAGCACCAGAAAGGCCCAATTAGCTTGGGGGAAGCGGCGGAAGGGACTGAAATCCGATGGAGAGAGGAGCAAGCGCCATTGTTTCCTCTCGGACCCCGCCCCCACATACAACGTCACATCCCAGCGACTGGGTTGCCCCACCCTGGAGAACACCTAAGGCTCTGCCCTTCACTACATAACAGGCGCAACCAGACCCCCATCAAACGTGGCTCAAACCAAAGTACAAATCAAAGCCTCAGAGCCAATACTTTTAAGAGACCAAGAGATAGCCAACCTATCAGAAGCACAGTTCAAAGCACTGGTGATCAGGATGCTCATAGAATTGGTTGAATTGGTTGCAAATTAGATGAGAAAATGAAGGCTACGATAAGAGAAATGAAAGAAAATGCACAGGGAACCCATAGTGATGGGGAGGAAACTGGGACTCAAAACAATAGACTGGACCAGAAGGAAGAAAGAAACAACCAAACAGAAAAAAATGAAGAAACAAGAATTCAAAAAAATGAGGAGAGGCTTAGGAACCTCCAGGACATCTTTAAACATTCCAACATCTGAATTATAGGGCTACCAGAAGGGGAAGAGGAAGAGCAACAAATGGAAGTTATTTGAACAAATAATAAAGGAGAACTTCCCCAATCTGGCAAAGGAAATAGACTTTCAGCAAGTCCAGGAAGCTCAGAGAGTCCCAAAGAAGTTGGACCCAAGGAGGAACACACCAAGGCACATCATAATTACATTAGCCAAGGTAAAAATGAAGGAGAGAATCCTCGAAGCAGCAAGGGATAAGGGGACAGTCACCTACAAAGGAGTTCCCATCAGACTGTCAGCTGATTTCTCAAAAGAGACCTTGAAGGCAAGAAGGGGCTGGAAAGAAGTATTCCAAGTCATGAAAGGCAAGGACCTACATCCAAGATTGCTCTATCCAGCAAAGCTTTCATTTAGGGTGGAAGGGCAGATAAAGCGCTTCTCAGATAAGGTCAAGCTAAAGGAGTTCATCAACACCAAGTCTGTATTTTATGAAATGTTAAAGGGACTTATCTAAGAAAAAGAAGATAAAACATGTATAGTAAAGCGACAACAAATTCACAGTTATGAACAACCACACCTAAAACAAAAACAAAAACAAACTAAGCAATCAACTAGAACAGGAACAGAACCACAGAAATGGAGATCACATGGAGGGTTAGCAACAGGGGAGTGGGAGGAGGAGAGAGGGCGAAAAGGTACAGAGAATAAGTAGCATAGATGTAGGTAGAAAATAGGGGGAGGGTAAGAATAGTATGGTAAATATAGAAGCTAAAGAAATTATGACACACGGACATGAACTAAAGTTGGGGGATACGGTGGGAGAGGGTGTGCAGGGTGGAGGGAAGGGGGAAAATGTGACAACTGTAATAGCATAATCAATAAAATATATCTTAAAAAACAGGAGTGTGTGAGGCAGAGGAGGAGGCACGAAAGAAGCCAGTGACAAAGGGAAGGTCAGGCTAGTTTGTGGCCGAGGTCAAGTTCATCAGTGCTGCAAGAGTTTCAGTGAGAGCTGCTGGCTTGCGAAATGACCTGACCGTGGGCTTTGTTGAGACCAAAACCACCGTCAACTCTCTGAAGAGAGTCAGTGGAGGCGATGGGATGGGAAGAAATATAAGCAAGCCCAGCCACCCTGTCCCCTTAGGATGTTTAAATCTGCTCACCCATGCAGCTGGCAGGCCTATTTTTAATACATGAGACCTCCTTGAGCTTTTGTTGCAATTCTTGTGACATTACAATGATTTCAAAATAAAACTCAAATGAAGCAAAACTCGCACCAGGTGACTCCAGGCGTAAGAACCAGGAAGAGCTGCGGTTCAGGGATCTACCTGTATTACAACCACCTGGAGGGCTGGTTAAACCAGCATGAGGTGGGTGATTGGACTGTTTGCCACATGTGACCCCACCCACCCTCCTTCTAAACCCACACTGTCCTTCAAAGTGGAGTCCAGGTGTGGGGAACAGCATGGACAAGCAGAAATGGTCACTCGACTGGGTGTTCTGTAGTAAATCTGGCCTCCCTCCTGGGATCACCCCCTTCTACAATGAAATAAAGAATAACGAGAGGACAAAATAAGATTATGGTTGAATTGTGGAATATTTATTGAAACAACGAACAAGACTTGCATTTCATTGGAAGAATAACAGTATCATAAACAACCAAGAAACATCCTATGAGGAAGAAAATGGTAGGTTATAATGAGGCGGAAAATAGAAACCAATAAGGAAGGTCTGCACTTATTCAAGGATCTTAATTCCAATGTGTAGAAGCCCTACTGCTTTCTAGAAACCTCGTGCGGGTTTAACCTGCCATCCATCATTTTTTGCAACACAGGTGACAAAATTAATTTCCTTCTCGGGCAGAAGGGAGTTGGAATCCTCGGGAAGTCACTTTCGAATGTGTTGGGTTTTTTTTTTGGTGGCGTTTCAAAGTCCCCAGTTAGTGGAAAGCCTGGTCACACTCGGGGCAGCGGCAGGGCCTGAGGCCCGTGTGGGTGTGCAGGTGGACACTGAGGTTCCCTTTGTGGCTGAAACATCGAGACGTTGCATGAATATGGCTTCTCCCTCGTGTGGACCTTCTGGCGACCTCGCAGCGTGGATTCACGGGAGAACGACTTCCCACAGGTCTGACAGCTGTACGACTCCTCGCCGGTGTGGACGCACTGGTGAACTCAGCAATCCGAAGGTTGTATGAACTTCTTGGGACAAAACTGGCATTCAGAGGGTCTCTCTCTGCTGTGTGACCTCTGGGGAACAGTTAGCTGAGATTTATAAATAAATCTTTTCTTGCAGTCTGCAAAAAAAAAAAGAAAAAAAGAAGTGAAGGGAAATTGTGTATCTCTTTGAAGATATGTCGGAATGATGGTTAATTAGTCACAAAGCGACTTGAAATTCCTTTTTCTCATGACTGTGCGGGCTGGGATCCTGCTCACTGCCTGGGACACTGCTTCACAACTCCATGCCAGGGCCTTCTGTCAAACACAATTTGAAACCAACTGGACTAACCCAGCCCCTTAATTCGAAAATAGGGAAACACATTTAAGACCAGGAAAGGAAGCTAGCTGACCTGGCTGAAATTAACAGCTGGTGATGGCAGAGCTGGGGCAGGAACTTGGATGTTCCAGCTTTTCATCTTGTGCATCCCAACACAGAATCTTGGGGTCTGTCTTAGCTCTCTCCTCTCTCTTTCAACAGTATGTGAAAGCCAAGTGCCCCAGGGCCATGCTGCCCCCTCTCTACGCCCTCGAGCTGCTGACCATCTACGCCTGGGAGATGGGTACACTGGAGGATGAGAGTTTCAGGTTGGACGAAGGCCTCGTCACTGTGATGGAACTCCTGCAGAAGTACCAGTTGCTCTGTATCTACTGGACCAGTCACTACACGTTTGAGAACCCAATCATTGAGGACTGTGTCAGAAAACAGTTCCAAAGAGAGAGGTACTGGGCCCCTGGTGGGTCAGGGAACCCCCACCGCATAAGGCAGCCTGCCTGATGGGGTGATTTCAGGGAGCCAGGGATGTTGAGAATAGCAAATGTGGGGCCTGAAATGCTCCATTCACTCCAGCCGCCCGCGATCACATTCTGTCACATAGATAAAGTTGCAGCTCCCTCCTAAGTCACAGCTCTTATCATGGGCTTGGCATCTGACATCTGTGGCCATGCCAGCCACCCAAGGAGGCCTCCTGGACCCCCTCCAAGCCTTCTTTAAAATATCTATTCACTATTTATACAGAGGAGAGGCACGTGGAGGCGGCCCAGCCTCTCCCCTGTTGAGGAGTCCCAGCTGCTGCTTGAGAGAACTTAGGAGGTCTATTCCTCAGTTTTCTCATCTGTAAAATGGGGATGACAACAACGATACTAGTCCCTACCTTATGGAATTGTTGTAAGGATTAAAGCAGGTTAATTCACACAGGGTTTGGCCCAGTGCCTCTAATACCAGCAGTCGGGGGAGGTGTTATCTTCATCCAAAGCATTTTGGCAGCTCTAGTGTCAAACTTAAGTAGCCTGTCTGCAAAAACAAAGTCTTTGAACTTAAGAGGCCCACCTACCTGAGTGGGCATCTGTTATTGCTGCAGCAATGCCCTTTGGCATCTCACCCTTCCCACATACACACACACGTCACCAGAATTCCTTACAAACACCTAGAGAACTCTCTGCAAAAGAAATTCTTGGAAATCTAATTGCCTCTATCCTGTCCCTCTCCAGCCATGTTTCTGGAACCTCCGGGACTGAAGGTCCGGGGCTCTGAACATAGCAGATGCTCAGGGACTTAAAGAGACGATGTCGGAGAAGCCTCCTTTCTGGCTTGCAGGCCTCCAAGCTGGAAAGAGTCTGGGTACCCTCTCCCTGTGTTGCAGGCCCATCATCCTGGATCCGGCTGACCCTACCCACAACGTGGCAGAAGGGTACAGATGGGACATAGTTGCTCAGAGGGCCAGCCAATGCCTGAAGCAGGACTGTTGCTACGACAACCAGGAGAACCCAGTCCCCAGCTGGAATGTGATGGTAATGGCTCCTCTCCAGGCTGCTGCCAGAGGCCTGACGCCCAGAATGAGATTAATGCATAAGTGTTTACTTATTTATTTCTGTGCCGAGAGAGCCAACCGGCCATTTGAGTCAGGCAGTCTGAGGCCTGGCTGCACTACCTGCCCCCTCTGTGAACTTGGGGAAATGATTCAACTCTCTGAGCCTCATATTTATGTTCAAATTCTTGTTCTCCTTTCCTTTCTCCTCCCCACCCCTACCAGATAGTCGGTTCCATGCTCCCAATCATTTCTTGAGTGAACTGACCCCAGGTGAGTCGATTCACTCAGCTGCTCTGTGCCGGCACGGGGCTTGGGGCAGGTGGGGGGTGCGGGCCCGGGGGTAACAGCCTCCAAAACAAAGTCGCACAAACTACTGAAGGATACCTGGATTTGGAGTTGTCTTTCAATGGATTGGAGAATAAGTTATCTCGTGTTCTCGAGCTAGGCCTTCTCAATCAATAAACATTTCCTTGCTCCAAACTCTGGGGAAGAAAAAAAATAATTACTAGATAGAATCACCGAAGAACGTACTCGGAAAACAAAAAAATGTTCAATAGCAGATAATGGAATGTGATGCCAGACCTACAGTGTTACAGAACAGACCCGGGGGGGGGGCGGTGAACGATATACTATTACCAAATGGACCTCCCCTTGTGCTCCAGGGGTCCCCCCCGCCGTACTAGGTTCGCCTTGCCCACCGCCAGGGAAAGACATCTCTCAATGCCAGAGATTGGTGAAAAGGAAAGGAATTATTTATTTAAAAAGCTATATAGACTTAATGACTTAATGTCTTCATTAAAATACTAAAGTCCTTTAGAATGCCCACAGACGCACACAGTCCTTCCTTCTGCCTCTGCCCAGTCCGGGGTACGGTATCTCAGGAAAAGAAGTAGAAGTCTATGGCTCAGGCAGCCCCTCAGTTCCGGCACCATCAGCTAGCTATGTCGCCACCACAATCTCCAGTTAATCCAAACCATGTGGCAGCTTCTCATGGCCCACCAGCAAGAGTCCTTTCACCCCTTTCCTTCCCAGCAAGGTCTCTCCTGCTTCCTAAGCCACACGGGAAAGGGGAACACCGCCAAGTCATGTGGTCCTAACACTCACCAAAGCCCGAGTGGTCCCAACTATCCAGCGTGGCTGCCACGCCTGGGTTTAAATCCCAGAGCCAATCTTCCTCTGCAGCCCACAATCAGTTACACCTGCCAGAATTCCCGTATTTTTCCAGCCTTTCTTGGCTGCCATTGTAAGTCCGGGCAAGCGTGGCCCCATGGCGTGGAGACAATCATCTCCAATCTCTCACACAGGTGCTGTCACCAGGGGGCGTTGCCTCCCAGCTACATCCTGGGTGGAAGTCACTCCCATCCTCCTGGCTCAAAGCAGGGCCACAGCTGTTTAACATATCCATGAAACCAGTTAAAGCTTATAGATATGTTAAATAACCATGCCTGAAGTTATTTGCAAAACTGTTGCTATGCAGAACAACTCTCAATGGCCCTGCTCCATGTGTCCCATCCCCCAGTTCAGACTTGTGGGGGGTGAGGACAATGAGGACAACATATATATATATATATATATATATATCCTAATATTTCCTGGACACCCTGAGTTCTGGACCCCATTACAAATCCCTATTTGGGGCCCTCCCTAGCTGCACCCTGTTACAATAGTACAGGCAAAGGCCATAATAATCTATTTCGATCACATTGTACTTTTCAGTTTACAAAGCACTTGTCCAGGGATTGCTCTGTAAAGTAGAAATGTCAAGTGTTATCATCATCATTTAACAGATGAGGAAACAGAGGCTCAGAGAGGTTAAGTCAATTGACCTAAGTCACACTCCTAAGAGGCAGCAGGACTGACACCCAGATCTTTGTAGGGCCATGGAAATGGCAAATAAATGTTATCTCTTAAGTCACTAGAGAGGATTCCTTGAAGAAGACAGGGCCCGAGGTGGGTCTTAAAAGCCAGGGAGGCATATAGACACTCAGAACAGAGGGCACTCCGTCCAGGTAAAAGGTAGGGTGAGGGGTTAGGGGCAAAGGACTGGCGTGCGTTCCAGAACAGAAGCCGGACCTGCTGGGAGCAAGGGCGGAAGGAGCACCAGCAGCTCCCTAAGAAGGTACAGGGCCTACAAACTGAGCCCACCAGCCCAATGATGCCCACGGATGGGCTGGAAAGTGTGTGCCTTTGGATTTTTCCCGACTGGTCACACCATCGTGCAAAGATTTTTATCTTGAAAAATCTAACGATTTGACCATGCTGGGCCTCTGTCCCTTCTAGAAAAGATCAGATAGAGGGCCGGGACTGCCCAGCCCCCTCCAGGTGTGTTCTTCAGCCAGCTGGGCCTCTTGGGTCCTTGAGTGTGGCCTCTTCGTTGGTGAAGACGGGCTTTGGGGCAGGTTCAAACATCTGCTCTGTTCCTCACTGCCTCTGAGGTGTTCAGTAAATCACTTCACCCTGTTTGATCACAATGTCCTTATCTGTAAAATGGAGTAATAGGAGAACCAACCCTTCATGGGGCTGCTGTAAAAGGCACCCAACATGGGGCCTAGAAGGTGGTTGGCACTTCCTAAATGTTTGCTGCTGCTGCTGTTGAAAAGATGAGGACAGCCCTGGACAGTGTGCAAGATGAAAGGTCACAGGTTCAGTTCCCAGTCAGGACACATGCCTGGGTTGTGGGTTCGGTCCCCAGTTGGGGTGTATACAAGAGGTGACCAATCAGTTTCTCTCTCACCTTGATGTTTCTCTCCCTGTCTTTCTCTCTCTCTCTCTTCCCCTCTCTCTAGAATCAATTAAAGACAAAAAAATTAAATGAAATTAAATTTATAAAAGAAAGAAAAGAGGACAGGTGAAGGAAACTTCTACACGTAAGAGAGAGATGTGTGGACTCAACCCCTCTCTTCTCTCCCTTGCAGAGCGCACGAAACATTGAGGTAATTGTGGAGCAGTGGGATTACCCTGACTTGATCCTCATCATGAACCCTCATGAGACCATAAGTGACGTCAAGAAGAAGATCCGGCGGAGGCAGGGCAGCTCTGGCCTGCAGCGTCTGTCCTTCCAGCAGCCCAGCGGCGAGAGGCAGCTCCTCGCCGGCTGCAACTCCCTGGCTGATTTCGGGATTTTCTCCGACACTCGCATCTCTCTGCTGGAGACCATTGGCTCCGAGATCCAGGTCTTTGTGAAGAATCCGAGTGGCGGGAGCCACGCCTATGCCATCGACCCCAAGAGCTTCATCCTGAACCTGAAACAGCAGATCGAAGACAGGCAGGGGATCCTCCAAAATCAGCAACAACTGGAGTTCCAAGGCCAGGTCCTGCAGGATTGGTTGGCTTTTGGGAGCTATGGTATTGAGGACAATGACACCCTCTTCCTCTCCAAGAAGAATGTCAGAAAGGTTCCATTTGTACGCATCTAGTTCCTTCTGGGAAACCTCTCTGTGCGGTTCTGCCTTCTCATCCAGGACTCATCCTATCAGTCCCTCCTTCCAGTTCTCTGCTGGGGAGGTGTCATGTCTTCACCACTTTTGTAAGGAGTTGGCCTAGCCCTCCCTGCCAGGGGAGGAAGGAGAAAGGGTGTGAAAGATTAAATAGGCAAATGACCAGACCACATATGACAACAGAATTCTGACTCACAACCTCTATAGCCACCAGTTTCGGAAGCCAAACCACCACCTGTTCATCAATCAACCCAAAACTGTCAGGACTTGATCAATAATTGCCAGCTTCCCTAATATTCCCCCCACCCCGCCCCTTCCAACTCAGGACCAACCAGAGAAAGCCAAATAAGCTCTCTAGCAATCACACAGGATGAAGTCCTGCCTCCAGACAGCCCGCCTCCAGCGTCCCTATGCCACCAACTTCAATCAAGGTGCACACCTGAGGCCTTCTCGACTTTCCACTGGAAAGTTTTCCCATTGCCTGTCTTCGAGTCTCTGCCAAATGCAGGGGATGTTGTTTGACTCCCTTGCTATGTAGCAAGTGGGGAATAAATAAAGTTTGTTCACTCTCTTTTGGATGATCTTCATTTCTTTCCACGGGTGCTAATGCTGTCCTACTGGTGATTGTTTAATCCATTGAACCTCTCAAATCTAGGAATGAAAACCGGAGACGCCGAGAAAGAGAGAAGCAGTCTGGGAGAGCAAGGATGACTGTAAAAAATCCCATGGATTTTTGTTTGTTTGTTTAAGGAACGGCATTGTTATAGTAATACCAGGTGGAAGAGAATGGTTTTAGCAGTTAGGGAAAAAAAAAAAGGGCAAATCTGGGGCTTGGCCACTGAAACTTATAACAAAGGGAGGGTAAAAACAAAAACAGACAAGAAGTTGTTTCACATTACAGACCTCCCCCGACCCCATCCCAAAGCCAGATGCTTGCTTACCAAGTCAAAAAAAAGAGACACAGTTGATTCATAAGCTGGAGGTCTGAACTTGAGTAAGCCAGTTATAAAAACCCAGCTGTGCATCAGAAGCACCCAGGATAATGCCTCTCAAACTTTACTGTACATCCTGGAGAACTTATTTAACTGCAGGTTGTGATTAAATAGGTCTAAGCTGTCAAGACTCTGCATTTCTAACAAGCTCCTGAGTATTGTGCATGCTGCTGGCTCGCAGATTATACTCTGAATAGAAGCCAGACCCCGGAATATTGAGGAAATGCAGATTCCTGAGTCCCACCTCCCAAGAGATTCTGATTTGGTCAGTTTTCGGTTAGGCACAAGAATCTGCATTTTAACAGGTTTCCTAAATTGTTTCTGATTCCCAGCTGGATTTCGGAATTCCTGGAATAAATGAGTGATATTGAAACTGCATTAAATCAAACCATGGGAATGTAGGCATTAACCCCCTGTGTGACCTTAAGCAATTTCTCCCGCTCCGTAGGTCTCATATTCCTCATCAAGAAAAGGGTGGAGCCCTGGCTGGTGTGGCTTAGTGGATTGAGCACTGACCTTCAAACCAAAAGGTTGCCGATTGAATTCCCGGTCAGGGCTCTGCCTGGGTCGCGGACCAGGTCCCCATTTGGGGGCGTGCGAGAGGCAATCGACAGCTGTTTCTCTCCCTCTCTTTCTCCCTCCTTTCCCCTCTCTCTGAAAATAAATAAAATCTAAAAAGAAATTATAAGGGCGGAGCAGTTGATGTCTTTGGCACTTCCAAATTCTTGCATTTGGGGAAACTCCCACGACAATTCAATGGCCATTGGCGGTATGAGTCTGAGAACTACCATCCCCACAATGCCCTGCGTTTCCCCACTCCCACGTGCAGTCCAGGAGGGGTACGCTAGTGGAGGCGCTCCCACCATCCTTTGCGGTGGTTCAAGAGGACGGCGCCCGGAGGTCCCATGAGTGATTTGGAGAGCAGCAGCAGTGGCAGCGATGCGGAGGAGCTGGCGCGGTGCCGCGAGGCCGCCGTGCCGGCCTGGGGCTTGCTGCAGCTCCCGAGAGGGCCGGAAAAGAAAAGAACCGGTAGGGGACTGGGTTCACGCAGTCTGGCCGGAGGGCGCGGGATCTTCCCGTGGGGCCTGAGAGGATGGATGGTGAGGAAGGAGTCACCGGGACTCCACTTCTTTGCCCGAGAGACCTGCGGGGGCTAGATGGGCTGCGGCGGCAGTGTGGGTTGTTTCCTTGGCCCAGTCAGGGAAATTGAGGCAGCCGAGCGTCTTTCGACTCGGCCCCCTTTGGGTCATCATCACTGCTGCACACCGGGCAGCCCGCCTCCTCTCCGAAATGACTGCGACAGCCCACTTCGTGGATCCTCACTTACAGCCTTTCCTCGCCCGCTGCACATTTCACACCCCGGGGCTGCCAGTGAGCGGTGTCCCGCGCAGCCCGGACCGGGACCCCCTGGTGCCCCGGGATTCCCTGGTGCCCCGGGGATAAGGGCAAAACCCCTCACCGTCGGGGTACCGAGTCGTAATCCAGAGGGTACGTGAATGTGGAACGGGAACAGTGTTTCATCTTCGTTTCCGTTAACCTCTGGTGGAAGTTTGGCACCCCGTCCCATGTTTTATGGGGGCCACAAGCCGCACGTGACTTGGACAATACCTGTTATTTTGTCCTATTAAAAGTGACAGATTTTCATATCCCATCACCGCCTTTGCAGATATGCGAAAGTATTTTATTCACAATAAAATGTTGGGGAGAATTATTTACACTCATTCCTGCTTTAAAATAACAATAATTTGTAGGCCCTAGATCTAAAGAATCTCTAGATCTTATTTAATGCATTTAAAAAAGCATATATATTAGTATACCAGATTTGTTTTTTTACTGTTAAGGTAACTGAGTTTCAGTATCATTGGTTTTCTTTGTAATACTGTGTGTGTGTGTGTGTGTGTGTGTGTGTGTGCGTTTTAAGTATTTTCGAGAAAAAGGAAGAGAAAAATGGATTTGTTGTTCCACTTATCCATGTGTTCATTGGCTGATCTTGTATGTGCCCTGAACAGGGACTGGACCCTCCGTCTTGGGGTATCAGGACGATGCTCTCACAAACTGGGCTATCTGACCAGGCTTCTGTGTTTTATTTTATTCGTTCAAGACATTATTCTGAGAAGGGGTCCGGGCTTAACCAGACTGCCGGCACAGGCATGGTTAAAACCCCCTGCTCTTGTTGGAGCGGACTCGAAGGCTCTCTGGTGACCCAGTCCCTGCCTGCCTGCCCGCCCTTCCCCACTGTCCCGCCACACTGCACGCCCACAGGTAGGCTCCAGACCGCACTTGGATCCTCTCGTCCCCGAGCACCACAACCCTGTAGTTTTCTCTTCACGTTCTGTACGTGGATCTGCCTTTCCATCTCCATTAGTCACTAGTGCTGAGACTTTGGGTAAGGTACTTAAATCTCACTGCACCTAAACTTTCTCATCTGTAAAAGGTACGCACCCCACCAGGTTGAGAAGTGATAGAGATGACGCATCGGCAGCACTTGCACATGATAAGGGCCCGATAAATGGCAGCAGTTATGTGGCTGGTTTTGCTATATATGGATGGCTTTCTCCCTCCTGCCCAACTCCCACTCCTTTTTAATTTTTATTTATTTATTTTTAAAGATTTTATTTACTTTTTAGAGAGAGGGGGAGGGAGGGAGAAAGAGAAGTAGAGAAACACCAATGTGTGAGAGATACATCAATCAGTTGCCTCTCACATGCTTCCCACTGGGGACCTGGCCCACAACCCAGGCATGTGCCCTGACTAGGAATCGAACCAGCAACCTTTTGGTTTACAGGCTGGCACTCAATCCACTGAGCCACATCAGCCAGGGTTATTTATTTTTTTAAGATGTTATTTATTCTTAGAGACCCAGCCTTTTTTATTTTTCAGCTTGAAAATTAATTTTAGGACAACACATGTGGATAAAGGTGCAACATTTATTTCACATCAAGACACCATTGCCAAGAGCTGGGGATATAAAGGTTTAAAAAGGCAGATCGTGTGCCCCAGTAGCTCACAAAGCCAAGGAGAAGGTGAACATGCAAAGTGTTCAAAGCAGTATAACACTTCACTGTGTCCTCACACTAATTGGAAGTTTCGTTATCTCATCCCCACTTTGTAGATGAGGAAACAAAGGCTCGGGGGAGGTAAAGTGACTTGCCCAGGCTCACCCAGCTTGTCAGTGGAAGAGCCGGGGCTTCACTGAACTCTGTGTTCTGGGGCCTGGGTCTAACACTGCTTCTGTAGCATGGCAGCACCTCACATCCCTTGCTCTGTAGTCGGGATGGAGGAAATGCCCTTCTCCCTTGTGATTGCACACTCAAGAAACACGACCAGGTGTGCAAAGACTGTCCATCCCAGGGCTTCACCTTCCCAGCTTCAGGACCACCAGGCACTTTGTATTCATTCTGTGTTGTGGTCCAGAGCGCATGAGCACAGACCACAGTGCCAACTGTGTTTTCTGGAGTAGCTTAATGCCGTGGCCCCGCACTGGGTCCAGAGTTACCGAGTGTCCGTTTTGGTCAGGTAGCCCCTTAAGTACATAAGCACATTTTGTCCCATTACTCAAGTCAAAACCTTTCATTCACCTTCCACAACATCTGTCTAGTCCATCGGCAAAATTGTGTTGACTCCATCTTCCAAACACGCTTATCCAGGGTCCTGCCACGTCGTAACATTTCATTTACTGCAGCAAAGTCCTTGCTTCTGGTCTCGCCCCGCTAACTCTGCCTCCACACGGTAGCCAGAGGGATTCTGTAAAATCTTATGTGCGTGTGTGTTCGTCCTCTGTGCAGACACCTCCAGTGGCCTCTCCCGTCCTCAAGGGCCCAGGTCCTCACACTGGCCCACCAGACGCCCCGTTCTGGCCCCCATGAGCTCCTCGTTTCTCCTATAGCCACACTGGCCTCCTTGCTCCCTCTAAAAAGCTCCAGACAGATTCTGCCTCAGGGCCTTTGCAGGTTCTCGTCCCTCCACCTGGAAGACTTCCACAGGTGTCCACTTGGCTTCTTCCCTCACCTGTCCCTTAAATTTCTATTCACATGTCACCTATCAGAGACGCCCTCCATGCCCACCTTTATAACATGACTCCCTGCCCAGCACTCCCTCCCACCCTCCCTGAGGTGTTTTTCTCCCTATACTTAGCATTTAATTTTACACATGTAATTCTGTGTGTGTTTTTGTCATCTCTCTCTGCTAGCTAGAGTGTAAGCTCCATGAGGGCCAGGGTCTTTGTCTGAGTTGTTTAGCTACTAGAACTCTACCTAGGCTATATTAGACCTCCAGTGTTTGGTGGGTGAATGGCCACCAGGCCAAGAATCCCCCGTGTCTTGGCTTGAAAAGTGTGATCAGTGTAACAGAGCCACCTTCTCTGTCCTCCACGGCACTTGGCACACGGCCAGGTAGGTACCTCATAGGAGCTCAATAAATGCTGGAAACAAATTACACTTAGACTTGCCTGCTCGGCACAGTGGTGAAGAGAAGGGCTCTGGAGCTAATTGTGTCCTCGTCCCAGCTCTGCCACTTAATAGCTGTTTGACTCAGACTGAGTTATTTTACAGTTTCCTTTTCTGCCTAATAGAGACAATGG